TTATGCTGTCTATATGTGTGTATCAGTTTTATAGTTGAAGTTATGAATATTGGCTCTATACTGTCTGTATTGCAAACTTATGCTATGCTTCTGGGTGACAACCCAGACAAGCTGGTGTTAGCTCTGCCTAGCCTGCTTGATGGCCCATTAAGAATCATCAGGTATACAATGGACTCATTGAGAAAAGGCAAATATGCCTTGAGACTCAGCAAAGTATGCAGGGACTGTCCCATGTGACTCCAGACTTCATTTTGCTGTAATTTTCCACAGTAAGAACAAAGAGGTGTTCTTACACCTGGAAAAGACTATATAAGGCTGAGGCCTCATCTCCATTTGGTCTTCAATCCTGCTTCTTATCTCTGGAGGGACTTTGCTACACCTGAAGCTCTGAACAAAGGACTGAGGACCTATCCCAGCTGGGGATGATCCAGAGACTTGATTTGAACCTGCAGTTTATTCTATCTCTGTTGCAAGCCTGAACCAAGAACTTTGCCATTACTGTATGTAATTGATTCCATTTAACCAGTTCTAGCTCTCATCTATATCTTTTTCCTTTTATGAATAAACCTTTAGATTTTAGATTCTAAAGGATTGGCAACAGCGTGATTTGTGGGTAAGATCTGATTTGTATATTGACCTGGGTCTGGGGCTTGGTTCTCTGGGATCAGGAGAACCTTTTTTCTTTTTCTGGGGTATTGGTTTTCATAACAATTCGTCTCCATAACGAGTGGCACTGGTGGTGATACTGGGAAACTGGAGTGTCTAAGGAAATTGCTTGTGAGACTTGTGGTTAGCCAGTGGGGTGAGACCGAAGTCCTCTTAGTCTGGCTGGTTTGGTTTGCCTTAGAGGTGGAAAAACCCCAGCCTTGGGCTGTAACTGCCCTGTTTTAGCAATTTGTCCTGAATTGGCACTCTCAGTTGGGTCCCGCCAGAACCGCATCGTCACACCAGGGCAGAACAGTCATTGGGCCCCCAGGCACACACAAGCTGCGCCCATGCAGACAAGGTCCACCTGACATTTGGCAGTGCTGCCGGCTGTGCAGTTGGGCGCGCTCTTCCAGCACGGCCAGGGCTACCACATGCCCATCTGGTAGCATTGCCAATTGTCTAATGGCACAAACCCAAAGACCCTTGCCATGCCCCCTGCCCCGCCCCTTCTCTGAGACCCTGCTCCCTGCTCACTCCATCCCTCTCCCTCTGTCACTCGCTCTCCCGCACCCTCACTCTCGTTCACCAGGCAGGGGCAGAGGGTTGGGGTCCGAGAGGAGGTGTGGGGTGCAGGCTCTGGGAGGGAGTTTGGATGCAGGAGCGGGTGAGGGGTCAGGCTCTGGGAGGGAGTTAGGGTGCAGGAGGGGGTGTGGGGTGTGGGCTCTGGGCTGGGGCAGGGGTTGGGGTGCAGAGTGCAGGCTCTGGGAGGGAGTTTGGGTGCAGGGTGCTGGTTCTGGACTGGGGCAGGGGGTTGAGGTGCAGGGAGTCAGGGGGTCAGTGGTTTCCTCGGACAGCTCCCAAAAGTGACTGGCACACCCCTCTGGCAGCAGCTGCTAGGCACGGGGGCTGGGGGCACTGTGGGGGCAGCGGCCTCAATGGGGAGCTCAGAGCTCAGGCAGGGGCTCGGGGAGAGGGGCAGGGAGCAGAGGGGTGGTTCACGCACTGCCCATGAGGAAGGTTCTTTTCCTCCACGTCTCTCACCTCAGTTCTGGGTGGCCTCTGAGCACATCTACTGGATCAGGCCCCATGGGTAAGCTAGATCCTCCTCCCCCCAGTTATGTGTCGCCACGTGCCCAGGTGGGAGATAGGTGCCCAAACATCTAGAGTGAGGCAGCAGTGCACTCTTCGTGCCCAGAGGCAGAAGCTTAGACAGTGTGAGAACTTACAC